GTGAATAAGTGTCTCAGTTCACGATTGGAAGTCAGTGGATTTGAAGCGCAGCGTACTTACCATCAGGCAAGTCTGTACAGAACATGCGAGCATGTTCAAAGATGGGTTAGTTAGGTGTGGCCAGGTGATAACCTATACATATATATATATATATATACACCATATACTAATATATACTAGTCTATCTTCTATCTATCTATCTATCTTCTATAACCTATTTTATGGAAAACATAGAGGCCAAAGCGCTTGTAGTTGACCCCATAATCGACCAGGGGATTTGCCAAAGTCGTCACTTGATTGTGAGATATTTTTAAACCAAATATTGGTCCCTCACATTTTATGGTTGGTATAATTTGAATACGGTATCTTCGTGGGCAGTAAAACTCGATAAAATGGGCACTACTTTGAGTTGCCACCAGGTTTTATACAATAACAAAAAATCGGACAATTCGTTTTGAATCTCCCGAATAAAACAATATTCAGAACCCATTTCTGCTTACCCATATCATATATATATATATATATACACCATATACTACATATATACTATATTTCGTTTCATGACACCTCCACTTTAAGGCTGACACCGTTTGCGGTGCAATATGCAGGACAACGTCCTACCAGTGACAAAGGATGGGCAGTATATCAGGCAAGGCGTCATCGAGCTACTTACAAAGTTAAGGTAGTATGAGATATACGTAAAAGTGATTCAACCACATTGGGACCAGTGCGGGGTGTTAATTATACACGGCGTTCTTTCCATGAAGCGATCATTACTGGGGAACAACAAAAGTCTTGTGAGATGGACCACTAGCTCTACGAAGACTTCAGCACCTTTAGGTGGCCGCGGTGTGGTATATCGCAGATACAAATCCATTTTCAAATAGATAAATGATACTTCACGCTGATAAGTTTGCTGTGTGAGTGTGGCCAGCTTTCCGAATGCTACCAAATGTTACTAAATTTAAACATATCAGCACACCAGAAGGCAGTATGTGGTGTTCGTTAATCGATGTCCAAGAACCCCAGTTTCTCTGTTGTGTAATGCTAGAGTGCAGTCTCACAGAAAGCTAAATCTGTTCCTTTCTGAATAATATCGACAGATCAACTAGTCATACTGAAAAATCTCCAAACCATCGGATCCCTTCAACTACTGCAAACGAGTTGACTTGGGTCTAAAAAAACTTCGAACCTCACTTATTGAATAACTTTTCCTTATGTAGAAATGTGTTGTCCATGTGATGCACCGGCAATGAGATCTTCAACTCTTCTACCCTCACTTTCAAAAACTTCAATTTTAGGCCGGTATTAGCATCGGATGAACCAATGAAGTGCCATACACTTAGCCCGTAACTAGTGCAAAACCAGCAGCCAAGATTCAGGGGGGTAACTGTTTTCCATGTAGATACGGTCTTTGTTCTGCTCTACCACCATATTTTCCTATAGGTTTGCATCCTGAGATACAGAGGGGCAGAAAATTTAAACTCGGATACATCACTCATACACGGTACTCTCCTTGGAATATTAGGTGAAAGGACGTCGAAACGTTGGATTACAACGGCGAATCAATTCATTTCTTCGTTAGAAAGCCATCGAGATTTACCATCAATACTGGATAGGGAACAAAAGGTATGATCACGACGGTTGTCAACTTTTCGAGTTGGTTGGGCTTTAGTGTTGCAATAACGCTGCGGGTCAAGACAGAGACCAGCGAAGCGAGTCCACATTTGCAATGCAAGGCAGTTAGGGGTATAAACGTGCTGTCCACTGCACCAGCAATGTAGGGACGGTGTTTTTCCAAAGCGACCCGAATCTTCACGTTTGTGGAAGTAACGACGTTGCCTTCCCCCGATGGACGGCGACTTAAAAAGACTAACTTTAAACACCGCACACTTGGATCGCCCAAATAGTGACCGTGGTAAGTGGGCCAAAACGAAACCGTTACGCGCAGGAACACTAGAAACCAGCCACGTTCTACTCCGGGCTAGCGCACCTATCACGAAGTCAGCCACCAGAAAATGCATCAAAATGGATTGTAACCAGGACAGATGAAATGAAAGACGGAGAACAGTGGAAAGGTTTTGATCTGAAAACTGCACTATTTGGAAACCACAGACAGAGAAGATACACGAAATTTGGCTCGGAACCCTTCTCCACAAGTGCGGAAGCGGCAGACCCAAAAAGGTATACAGTCCTTGTAGGTTAGGAGCTGGAACGTTATAGCCTCGACAGAGCTGCTGTAGGAGAAACTCAGTTGATCGATTAAAACTGAAGGAAGCTGTATATATATATATATATATACAGCTTCNACGATAACATGGAATCGGACTGGCAGTGACTGATCATATATAGGGAGGACGAACCAGACTGCATTAATGCGATAATAACTATTCGGTTTCTACCTTCAGGACTTTTCGCCACTGTCACAGTGTGTATGTCTCACCCAGAAGCTGAGCAGCGAGAAATATGGGTCACTAGCTGTCATCAGATCCATCCAGCCGGCTTTCCTTATGAGTGGTCTCAGCACCCGAATCGGTTGCCACGAACAGCTATAGAATGGAACAATCAGGCCGTTTGGAACTGGGACTATGAACTCACACGGCCGAAGTGCACTTGCGCCATGCACGAGTATGGACATCTTCATCACTAATACGCAATAACTAGAAAACTGTCTATCGCACATAGGATGCATACAGGGTGGTTCTCGTAAAAGGTGACAAGCAACACCGACTGCAATCCAGAGTGCGAGTGAACCGGGAAAGACTCCATTTGAAGGAGAGCAGATATTACCGACCAGACTAAATATCAAGCAGTCGTTGGATCAGCCGACAAACATATTAGAGCTCACGGATTGTCTAATTCAATGGTGTCATAAACGTGGGAAGAACAATGGACTAGGACCAAGGAACATTTCGGAAAATTTTCGACCAAACATATTGGATTCAAAAAAGGAGAGCGCAAATAATAGTACCAAGGAAACGATACGCATATCTATGTACGCTATATCACAAACCATAACACTCTTCAAAACAAAGGGAATACTACAAAAAACGAACACTTGTCGAGGAATCAGTCTTGTTTGCACTGCAGACGAAATTATGGTAAGTGTGACGCCCAACTACTTGGAACCGGATACTCTGAAAGAAAACGTCTGAAGAGCAAGCTGAACCCAAAGCGGATGAAGCGGCATTAACCTTATCTTAGTAGTGTGTCAGCTCCACGAATGCCGGGAACGGTACCAAGTGTCGTACCGTCTGCTCATACATTTGACGGAAGCCTCTGGTCCGGCGAATCCGTCTCCGGAAGCTTGGTTGTCTCAAAAAACTGTCAACAGTACCAAAAGCCATTCACTGTGATACGAGGACCCGAGCACTTATTAACGGAGCCAACCCTGCGGAGTTCGAAATTGATGCAGCGCTCCGGTTCCGAAGCTCTTTGATCCGTCCGACTACGGTCCGTGTTGAGAAATTAACTGAATTTGAAAATGAAGTACAGATCTAGTCCAGGTCACGTCAAGTCGAAGATACGTACCCAGTTGTATGCGGATGTCCTTGTTTTACTGAAATCATGCTCAAGCTGCCGAGACAGTAGGTGCTTTCATGTAACATGTAAACACGTCTGGAACAGTCAAGACCTGAGTGTGGACACCACTGCCAGTGTAACAAGCTCCACTACTGCAGGGATGTCCTTGTTTTACTGAAATCATGCTCAAGCTGCCGAGACAGTAGGTGCTTTCATGTAACATGTAAACACGTCTGGAACAGTCAAGACCTGAGTGTGGACACCACTGTCAGTGTAACAAGCTCCCATCACTACTGCAGCGGAGTGTGGACCCCATACTTACGGCAAACCAGGATGCACGATAAAGTTCAGCACCGAGAATACTAGAAATTGAACGTCTGATTGAGTGGGGCACACTGAAGACCTCAAACGAGCCAGGATCGAGAATGCACTGATGGACAACCAGCTACGTTGGGTAAATAACGTGAAACGAATGACTAACAGCCACATGTCGAAACAATTTATTTGCAATCAGTTAAATACAGCACGGATTCGAGGGCGGCCGAAATTGTGCCACTGTGGCGACTTTCGGGAAATTAAAAAAAAACGGTTATCATGGTTTCGGATCTTAAGATGACCTGACACTTTAGGGAGCGACATGCTCGAAGCGGCCATACACCGACACCTGGACCTGTGCGCCTTGTGGGCGAACATGTCCGAGCACAAACGGACTCACATTTCATCAACGAATACAAATAATCACGCTGGATTGACCTGGTAATTTTCTGGGACAATCAGAGGACGGGCCAACTTGCCAATTGACAGGAACCAATCACAATCAAAGATAAACGGGACTTATCTAGACAGTAGCAAAGCGTTAATCAACCCATTCCCATTTGCTACGCGCTACGATGTCACACCGCGCGGTGACGGAGCGTTTTCAAAATATCAAGCTCACCGAATGGAACACGAGCTGACAAGAATCCAGGTGTAGAAACGCGCTTTCCTCTATGTCTATTTGTGATAAGCCATATTGCTTTAATTGTATTCGGAACGGTTAGTCGGAGAAGTGGTCGTCTCAAGAGCGCCTGTCTTGATACTGCCGAAATGCATGTCAGCACCTCGAGGTCAGCTGACAGATATTAGGAAAATTGTAGCAGAATCAAGCAAACACAGGATGATTGTTGTCGGTATAGGGGAGCTATGGGTAGAGGATTCGGTTTCTGCAAAGATAACTGCACAGATCTTTCCATACTGCAGAGGTGGTGTTAAACTTGCGAGGTCCCACAATATCGCTACTGCTAGGAGAGTGGTCACTTAACGGCGGTTCTCAATGGGCAGTCTTGATTGCCTATAGACCACACTTAGCCAACTAAACACAAATGTATGACTGATGTACTAGATAACTTTTTCCAGAGCTAAACAGGTGACTGTCCGTGAATCTCACTGCTCGAAGCGTTGGTGGTTTTCATCCACATATCAAGCTGAGTGTTTATTTACTATGAAACAACCTAGGGTCATTACAAATACCCTGAAGAATAAGAGACTGACTGGGAAAACATGGTGGACAAAATAATGCAGGGGGATTGAAGGAAAAGGCGCCTGAGCAATGCGACCCTGAGTTCACGAATGATACAAGCGTCCGAAAAGGGAAGGAGACTGCACTGCGATGAAAATAGAGAATGCCAAGACATAAGCGCTATGTGTGGGGATGATTGTTTCCTACTCGTCCCGTAGACACCGGAAAGTTTACTGCATCCGACTAAACGGAGTAGGGCGGAGGATATTGCTCGTCATTCGTCGGATCAGAGGAACTAGAATGAACAGAAGTGAGAGAGAACAGTATTAGCGTTTAAAAGGAGAATGGGGTGACAGCCGTAGATGAGTGCGAATAGGACCCGATTTTTATGAGAATCAACCGTGTGAACCTGGACCCAACATTGTGAGTGCAAATGGCCAGACATGGTACAAGCTACAAGGAAGGATGACCTCTGTGAAAATTCTATCAAGAGCTCTTTGTTGAGTTAGGTCAGTCTGCGGTGAAAAAGGTGGATAGCGCAGGCTCGCCATCAACAGGAATCATCATGAATGCATATCGAACCACTAAAATTTGAGAAGCAATTTCTTTACTTTGAAACGAGGGTGGCTGACGGTAAGCGCCGTTACTAATCGCTGATACAAACAAGTTACCGTAAATTTTGCCGCATTTGGTAGTAGCGGAACAGCGAATGGATATTATATATATATATATATATATATATATAT